ANATAATAATAATAATAATAATAATAATAATAATAATAATAATAATAATAATAATAATAATGAATATTTAATGTACATTAAACTTGAACTACAATGAAGAGATTATTTGGAACATAAGATAAAGATTAAATATATCCAAAAAACTCTGCAGGCAATCCTTTCTTTAAACGTTTGAATTTAAATTTTTGACTGAAAATTTCAAATTATGCTTGGGCGGGATTTCTAAATTTTTTTTAAAAAAGTTACTATGATTAGTAAATTTTTAGGCGGAAATTCTAATCATTTTTTAGCTACTATTTTAGGATTTATTGGGTTACCTCTTTATATAATAATAGATTATGGTGTTTTTGTTGGATCAATTTTCTTTCAAAAACTTTTATATATTAGAATTATGAAATGTGATTAGGATTTTACTCTTAAAATTATATTAAAAATAAGGACATTTATTTTTTTCAAAAGAACAATTTTATATCCTTTAAGAACTTTGTTGTTTGAGTTGAGTTTCAAGAGATATGTGGAAGAAAACAAATTCGTAAGAAATATTGGTACAAGTATATTATAGTTGATTTTTAAAAGGTGTGGAATGTTTTTTTCATGTATTTTCATTTAATTAAATAAATATTAGTTATTAAATAAAAATATAAGATAAAATTAGTATTACTGCATTACTAATTTGTCATTAAAAACATATCAAAATAAAGATTTTTTAGGTAGTTCATTTTTTAATTAAGAGTTTTTTAGGTAGTTTATTTTTATTTTTTATTTTTACAAAAACGCTTGTCCATTATTATTAGTATAGATATTACATACAAATTAAATTTTGTTTGCTGCATTATCAACTCATAAAATTAAAAATTAATATTGGTGTAGGAAAAAGAGTGTTAAACTCTTCATCTGTGATTCAATAAAAAAAATCTAGCAATTTCATGAGTTGGTATGTATGCATGTATCAGTTTATATTCGAAAATCACATAACTGAAACATGCAGGCTCCCAAATAACTTTTTATGCACGATTAGCGAAAATTAAGATGGTACCAAACTACTTGTTTCGGGTTGAGCTAGCGAGTAGTATTACAATGGACTTTGTTGTAAAAAGTGGAAGAAAACTACGTCGGATTACACGAAGACCAAAATTACTCAATCCGTCGGGAAATGTAGCAATTCATTCCCTTTTTTTTTTAAAAAAAAACCTAAACTGGGAATAAAACATCTTTTAGTAAAGATGAAAGACTCGAATATTTTTAAAATACTCCATGCTCATGTATTTTTCCAGACAAGAACTGACCTCCGTATATCATCTGGTCCTGCCCTGCCTTCTTATTTGCTTTGCATCTGAGATATGAAACATAAGCTGCATGTTTGGGGTTCATGGGTCAGATAAAAAATTGCACCAAAAAACAAAAATTTTGTAAGAACATCCTCTGATTTTTTTTATTTATACCTTGGTCCCAACATAGAATGAAACAAGCAAGGCAGAAAGTGTGGGCAGACCTGCTAAAATTGTGAAATGTGATATATAGCTCTGCAGCATTATGATCAATCATAAGAAAGGAAGTAAAATGAACAAACCTTCCTTTTGGAGGAATCCAGAAACCAACCAATTAATGCCAGATGGCCCGATTACAAAACCAACAAGATTAGCTACCTGTACAAGTAGCACGAAAATCGATGTCTTTAGATATCTAGTTACTCATACTGAAACACGGATCTGATTCTGATTTGATACGTGCAATCCAGTTCAGTAAGAAAGAGACTTTCATGGACATTAGTATTAAAGTATCTTTCAAAAGATGCTTAATGATGAAAGAGGCAGAAAACAAACCATCAGACAAGTTATAGTTATTGCACCAGCAACAGCTCTAAGTTCACGGAAAACAAATTCCCAGAAAGCACCCTTAACCTGAAAACAATGTGTGATAGAACCACAGAGAGATGTGGGACTAAGTTAGCAGTCCAAATGATTGTTTTCAATATAGTTTTCCAAACCAAAAGCTAGCATAGTCAACCTCCAACGTAGGAATTAATTCATCTTTAAGTTACACACAAATATTGTAAGTGTCAGATTAATTTTACCTTTGTCCTAAGCCATCAACTAGACATACCCTGTTTTAGATAGAAAAATCTCTGACCAACTAGACTTTCAATAATGCCACACTTTCGAAATTCTCAGCCAAGACCTTGTTCCTTAATCATTACGATTTACTTTTATAACCAAAAAATTCTTCATATCTTTTGACTTACCTTTCCTTGTGAAATTCTAAAAAATAATTTTCTTCTCCTCAGAAGCCCAAAACATAGTTTTCAATCAATGTTCAGTTGGTACATGCCTAGTTGATTACATGGTGGATGAAAATAAGAAAAGAGATCGAAATGTGAAGATACCGGGAAGGCAGTTGCTGCAGATTTTACAAGCATTTCTGGAATAAAAAATATACATGTCAACCACGCCCAAGAAAGAAGCTTCCTGAAATCAAAGAGAGAAGTCAACCATATCAGAAAACCTGCTGTCACAAATGAAGGTAACCATTTCTGCCATGTAAGAAGTCTTAGAAGCAAATAATACCACTCTAAATCATGCCACACAGCAACAAAAGTGAAGACGGCCCATACATTCAGCAGCTTTGTTCGAGAACCCCCAAGTGGTATATACACATACCTTATAAAACATCAAGTGATCTTTGCTGCAAAGCTCAACAATAAATTGTATGAACAAAAATTAAATATGAGAAACTGAGAACAAGCTTTATACCGAACAAGCCATCTGTTGAATGAAGCATGCCAATTTTTCCAAAAACTTTCTAGGTTGTGGCAGTTGTTTACACATCTAGGCATATTCTCAGGAGCCACAATGCCATTAACCTACATGCAAATGTTAGTATTAGAATAATACTTCTACACCAAGTGCCTTGGAAATGAAATTAGTATGGAGACCATGAGAAGGTAACACCATTGACCAAAATCGGAAGTAGCGCCAGATCAGAAAAAATTTCAGCCACATGAAGTTGAGAACCTGTTTGCGTCAAATATTTTTGTAGCAAGTTAGACATATGCATAGAGAAACAAAAAGAAAAGCTTATCTTTTGGAGGGTCGTGATTATTTAGACATGGTTCAATGTGTTAACCTAATTCATGGAGTAATGTATTTAGTTGCATGGTTTCTACTTAAACTACGACTGGTTCTTGAAATTTATGTCTTCGTGATGAGAGTGGATAAACACTACTAACAAACAACTTTTGGATAACAGACTTTGGCCTTATATTGTGCATCTGCTCTTGGTACATGATGAACATCTCTGTTTCTTGATTGTTTATTATTCATTTCAAGTTCACTTCCAAGCTATGACGGCATTCAGATGTCCAGAAAGACATGTCTACAATGTCCTCTCTTTTCAAACCCAGATAAATGGAAAGAAATTGATTCAACATATTGACTGAATGATACCTTCTGATCAAATGTAATTTTGAAGAAAAATAAATATTAGAGTTTGTGCTTGCTTCCACATTTAAGAGGACCAACTTTGACAGCAAGGCAGCAAAAACTAAAATGGACATTCTCAAAAATAAAACTTGTTCAGAGAAATAGGAGATCAAGAGAATAATAAGCACTTACACCATAACCAATTATGAAGATGTCCATGGGAGTCAATTGTTTCCACAAGCGACTGCAAGAAAAAACTCTCAGAGGATGAACTCACATAACTTAATGTCCATACCCAAAAACTTATTAGAATATCACCTGATGGCAAAGGCGTTATAGTGAAAGAGATGTGTCATTAATTCCATCAACAAAAGACTAAAACCCCAACGTATCCCATACCAAGCTACATCTTGAGTTGAGTAAATGCTCTGGGGAGAATCCAACTGGCACAAACTTACAAGTCAAATTACAGTCCTAAATATAATAGAGATGTGTCTTTTTATTTTAATATATCAGAAGATAATGGAAGCAGTGAGGAACTTACAAATATATAACATACTTATTTGGCAGCAATGACATCTAGGCTAAATTCATTACCAGGTAATGAACAGAAAATAAAACAGGTAGGTGCATCCCTGCATCCCAGTTCAATACTAAAATCTAATTTTCAGTTGGGTGCGCTTTCCGCTGATCTGATTGAAAGGGTGCTAGGGAGTAAATGATAGAGTTAACGTTGAAAACAAACAAACATTATAGATAGTCGATATTATTAATTAATAAAATAACTCGGGACCAATCCCGCCCAGCCTAAGGCCGACACTTCGGGAAGAGACAACCTTAAAGCCGACAATCCTATTCAACAAAAGATATCCTAGGTATCAAATGGACCCATATTGGCGCATAACACACAGGAATGGGATCAGGATAATTAATTACCCTATTGGCATTCGAACTTAACTACCCAGACCAAATAAACCAGCAACAATATTATACAATAAAGAAATATTTTCTAAATGTCAAGACATAAAATATACATATTTCCACAAGAGACCGAAAAATTAAATTATTAGCATACTAACCTGCGAAGCAAATGCGTTGAAACTAATGATTGGCCCAGCAATATAAAGAGGTGCATACACCAAATAGCACAAGTATATTGGAAAAGAGAATTTGTCCGATGTAACTCTTTTTTCCTGGGAAATGTATCAAAAGTTCATCCAAAAAAATCATATGTCAGAATACAAAGTCATCAAATCATTGCGATAGCAAATCTGTTGCTGGGTTGAGGTAACCTGTAAGATCAGGTAGCATGTCTTGCCTGATGAACAATGGTCACAATTCTGAACATGCTTCTACAGAAAGAAAATAAATGCTAAACGTCAGAAAGACACAACCAAGTTCATAAACAGATATGGATTTTTCTACCTGTACATAATTTGGGTACACAATGGTGTCGAGATACTCACATATAGTGCCATCTGCTCATATTTTATTAAGTGAGCCCCACTGCATGTGAGCGTATGGACACCAATACATAAGAAAAATTATGTACATGTAGTAACGTTACTCAACAGCTGTTACCCCTCCCCCAATTGCTAGATAGAACACTAATTACAAATAGTAGCAAATAAGACAAGCAGGAAAATAAACGACCAATTACATATATTAGGAAATCCAATTAACTTTTCTAAAACAAGAGTCAAAAGTAGAGATGTTAAACGGGGTAGCCCTAGCGGTTTCGGGCTAACCCTAGCGGGCTTTGGGCTAAACGGTCCGGGCCTAAAAAGCCCGGATTTAAACGGGCTACCAATAAAAAGACCTAACCCAACCTAGCGGGCTTCGGACTAAACGAGCTATACGGGCTATAGTAGTAGTAGTAGTAGTAGTAGTAGTAGTACTAATAATAATAATAATAATAATAATAATAATAATAATAATAATAATAATAAGAAAAAAAAAATAAAAAATTACAACACCTAGTTAACGGTTTTTTTCAACGGCTATTTAGTATTTACCACTATATATATACAACTACATTTCATATATGAACACACATTAAAAACTCTTAAATAACATATTGTTTCTCAATAGAAAAAATAAATGTTCGAATTATTACTTATAACTACCATTTGACTAGTTATTTGGTATGCTTCGGGAATTTTCACAATATAGCATAATGCTGAATTTATATTCTATCACTATATTCTATGTGTTAGGTCTTTGTCTCATTTATTTTTTTATTGGCCGTTCTGATTGGCTTAAATATTTTGTGTGAAATAGAATAAAATTTGTTAATAATTATCTATCAAAATAATAATAATACATTATAACTCTAATTACATGTGAAGTAGAATTGTAAAATTGTAATATATAAGGAATCATGAGACATATTCCTTATCTTTATAAAAACATATACACCACCCAACCCAAGTTAAACGGGCTAGCCCTAGCGGTTCTCGGGCTAGCCCTAGCGGGCTTCGAGCTAAACGGTCCGGGCCTAAAAAGCCTGGATTTAAACGGGCTGCCAATAAAAGGCCCTAACCCTATTTTTCTCTGGGCTAAACGGGCCGGACCGTTGGGCTAAGGACCATTTAACATCTCTAATCAAAAGGAAGATTTTTTGAATCAGAGAAATGGAGTCATATTCACAACATTTTGTCCATAATTATATGAATGTCAAATGCATTATATCACGAAGTGTGATAAAGCTTCAGCTCATGGATTTAGAGCTTTATTATCTCAATTAACAGTGTTCAGAACACCATCAGTAAAAAGTAGATGGTGGGTATAATAGTAAAGGTAGAAGGTGCGCTGAGATATCAATAGAAGAATACTTTGGTCCTGGAAATCAGTTACGAAGCATTTCCTGCGTGAGAATGACATAATTTGTGTAATCCTAAAATGCATACGTAGGAGGTGAGAGTATCTCCAAGCAAAAGGGTGTCAGGGATGAATTGATCAAAAAGCCTTGAAGGATGGTATTGTCAGAGAAATTAATCTATACCTTTCGATCAAAACGAGTATTTTCGTCAGTCCAATGGTAGTCATATCCAAAGCTTATCATACGCAGTACAACTAGAAAAAATAGCCAAACACATATAAAGAGAATTAGTATGAAAGGGTGTAAAATCAAGGGCCATAAGGCATGTTAAAGAATATGCATGCATGCAATGTTTTTTATTACGACAACTAAGAAATCATATGCAGTAATACACAGGATGAGGACTTAAAGGGCTGACATATGGAACTTTTTCTGATTTTCTCCATGATCCATATACGGACACAAAAACATACGATGGCAAATGGTGTATACTGTTGTCCGAATAATGAAGCAATGAAGGGTGTGTGATCATAAATGTGCATACATCAGATTGACAGGAAGATGCTGCAGAGGTTCCAAAAGAAGAAAGATAAAGGATACCAAAATTGAAGCATATATGCCATCTGAAGGTGCCCCGGAAGTAATCCAAGAAAGCCCAGTGTTGTCTGAACCAATAAAAATAGAAACAGGACTATAAAGCACTTAAACCTTGAATTTGAAAGTAGAATAAGTTCAGGAGATGCCTAAAACCACTTACCCAAAACTGGAGAATTTGTATCCCTCATAAATACGATTACATACAAGAAATGATAAGTTAAAAATCCAAAGCACAAGTGAGAAGTACTTTGTCCTTCCAAAAATCTGCAGAATCAAATATCTGGTGATCAAGATTAGAAGCTTTTTTGACAAGATATAGGATCCCAAAAGTTACAACTTGAAGTCATATCTGAAAAATACAATACAACATTAGCAAAATGTTCAGGTAACACTAATGTGGGTGTGTGTAATCCCACCAACAAGACCTCCTGCCAAACTAATTAGCATGTACCAAATATATCAAATCAAAGAAATCTAGTCTCTATTTAAATACAACACATAGACCATATGCATGATATCTTCATTCTTCACTACTCTTACAAGACCATTAATGCCTCAGATCACAACATATAAGATCCAAAATCAAACCAATCATGTCATGCGGTTAATAACTCATCATGCAGCACAGGTGGGGTGTTGCATTAGGCTCATTAACAACTCTTTTTTTTCACATTTACTAGTGAAGATACATGAAATGTTGTAGCAATTACAAAGAAGAAAAATAAAAAGGTCAAGGGAAACACACCTTTACGAGGAAGAAATTAGCCGAAGCAATAGCAATTATAAACATGATACTGTAAAGGAGGAGGAATATTAACCTTTAGCACAACAACTAAAGTATCAGCATAACATACATAATCCTTACAACGCATCAATGTATTTACCAGGCTCCATGTAGATATGATAGATAAGCCAAGGAGATCAGAGTCCAGACAACAGACATCCCCTTTGCTTTCAAAGAAAACGATGATCTAAGCACTTTGGCAACCAATGTAAATATAACAAACACCATGGTGAGAGTGAGCAAGTTCCCCCTGAAATTTCTCCATTGGGCATCGGAGGCATCCTTAAAAGAAGATGGAGAGAAAGAATATGAAGTTAAAAGCCATATATGACTAGTTAACAAAGTTTTCTAAACTTGGTTTATATGGACCAACCAGAGATATCAAGTATCAAGTAACTGAAACAAGAGACCAGATTTCATCCAGTACACGAGTTTACTACCCTTGTTTGATTCTTGATGTTCTCCTCGGATTTCAAACTTTAAAATTGAGATTATTCTAATTGACTGCTTCAAACTTAAAAGGTTCTATGTTAAACATTTTTACCTGATTGCTTAAAGTGACATGGAATAAGAAAATGATCCATGTTTCATCTAAATGCTCATTTCTCAAATCAAGAAGCAATGATTTGTCCACTTATGCAAAAGAAAAAAAAAATAATAATAATAATAGCTTTTCCAAAGAATTCACAAACTAAAATAACCCGGTCACAAAAGCAATTTTCTCAACTGGGGAAAATTGTGACAATAATAACAAGAAAATACTCATTGAAAACAAAGAGAAAAAGTGATTTACATTAGGCAGACTCCCAATCCATCCTGGGCGCAGTCCATAAAGCTTGGCATCATGATCTGCAACCAAATCAGCATAAAAACCTTATTCAGAAAAAGAACAACACGAGCACGCTCGAGTAGCATAAGCATTGGGCTGAGGTACCATGCGAGAGCCGCAGAGAACGACGAATAACAATGGCATAGAAAATGACGGCGTACAGAACGAGAAGTAGGAGCTCCTTCTGCTGCCAGGAACTGCTCATCATCACGGCTTTCAGTTTCTAAGCACAACAAACACAGGGCTTAGGGATCACAAAATTGAAATTTAAGGTGTAATATCTGAGATTTATAATTTTTAATTTAGAAATTTTAACATTTTTAAAAGAAGGAATTCTATGGATAGGTTTAAATTTTTTGTAATTATATGCTTGAATTTTATTATTTTTTTTCTAGAAGGTTTATATTTTAGGTTATTCTCAATTATAATAAAAAATAATAAACATCTTTAGTAAAATTACATTAATAAGAAACTAAAACTACATAAATTACAATGATGCAAAATTTTAATAATTAATATTTTAAAATATTGATAATTTGAAAAATATGTAATTAAAAAATTATTTTTATTAATTAATATAAATATGTAAAAAAAACTAAAAAAATAATATTTAAAAAATTTTGCCTTTATTTTAGCTTTTCATGATTTCAACTTTTCTTTTTGAACGCAAAAGTTGATATCATGCCATTATTGGCTGAAAATGATATATTTTTGTGGATCGTATTTAAATATTTTTAGTTTTATTACATATTTAGATTATTAATAAAAATAATATTTCCATTGCGTATTTTTCAATTCACTTATCAATTTTTTAAAATAATCATTATTAAACTTTTGCATAAATAATTTATATAGTTTTTTCTTATTAAGAAAATTTTACTAAAGATATTTATTACTTTTTTATTATATGTATGTAAAATGTAAATTACAAAAAAAATATATATATATTTTGTTCACATAACTATCTCATAAAGCGAAGCTAATTGGTTCACATATTTATGTCAAAAAGTAAAGTCAGTTGGGTCTTACAATGAGAAGTTAACTAAAAAGTGAGCCTTAAATTAACAATAACCTAAAATGTAAGTCTTCTATTGAGAAATAAGAATATTCAATCCTTAAATTGATGCAATTTCAAACAGTTGGGTCTTGACATGAAATTTCTCCCTTTTAAAAGTCTCGATTTAAAAATGTCTTACAATATCTTGAGATATTTAATAGACTATCATTTGTTAAGACTTTTTAATATTTGTTTATATTTTTTTAAAAATAAAATCTTATAGGAAATCTCACTCCAAATACCTCCAAACTTAAAATTTCATATGATTTTTCCAAAATTTGAAAAATCTTAAAAAGTTTTTAATCTTAAAAAGTCTCCAAAAGTCATTCAAAATCCCAAAAGAATGCGTCTCCCTTAGCGTACAAATAAATATTCCATTCTCAATACCTATTAGAAATGATTAAGGAAAAAAACGTTTTGTCATCCGAACTATCGAGATTTTGTCCTACAACATATAAATTGTTTTATTTATTTATTTATTTTATTTATTTATTTATTTATTTATTTTTTACAAACCACCACCAGAAACATACGGGTTTGTCAAATTACTCCCCATACCATGTTTAAGGCCGGTTTCACCTGGTTGAAACAGGTTTCGAGCCCTATATAGATACCCCATCTTCTAGTCATTTGCGAGAGAAATTCTTTCCAAATTCTTTGATTTATCCCACTTTTGTTCTAGGGTTTTGCAATAACCGATTCAAAAAAATGTTTCGGCAAATAATACATGAAGATGGTGCTTGAAGTTATATATATACTAATTATTGTGCACCTCCTAATTATGACTTAGCATAATTTTCTTTTTATAATTTATGAAATTTTATTTAACTTTGTACTAAGATAAGGTCTTACGTTGCAAAATATCCTAAATTTTATAGTTCAAATAGTTTAATTTCCTATCTATATATAAAATAATAATTTATTATGACCAAATATGATAACTAAGCTAAATGTTTTTCCTTGAGTAAAATAATACTTGATATTTAATTAAATATGAACTAAAACACACATATATATTGAAAATATAATTAATGGTACGTGGAATTAAAGTACATGCACGGACTAAATAACAATGGTGCATGGAATTTAAAGTAACATGGGTGAACGAACTAATGTAAACATACACATATATGTAAGATATAATCCTGCAGTTTCCTTGTTAGTGAAGTACAACTTCCTTGCGCTTTCATTACATTTTCATTGCACTTTCATGGCAGCCATTATGGGCAGAATTTTCAGCTTAAGTAATTTCTAGGAAAGTCACTAGGATAGTTGTTTTTAGTTCTTATAAATAGGGGTGCAGTTTTTATTTGTAAACACATAGCAAAAACTGAATACTCCATACATTGTTTTGTTCAATATCTTCTTCTTCTACCTAAAAGTGTCCGTTTGTGCCGGGAAGCATTTTTGCTTACCCGAACAGTGCATCCTAGCTGCAAATAGAGACGAGCAGGGGCTAACAATATATAGGGGCGGAGCTAGGATTTTAAAATGCTAATGAAATTGCGATCTCCGATTCTTTTTAAATTCAAACTCGGCGATTATAATATCATTACTAATCTTTTCGCTCAACTCCCTTTCAATGTAAATAATAATGGAATCAAGCATTTGGGTGATATAAGCAAACTAAAAAATAATAAAATAGAAAAAGGTAATCAAGAATGCATTGTGGGCTTTTGTACACAATCCCACACCTTTAAAAGGATCGAGTACATGATCAACAAGCATTAACAAGTATAATTATGCGAAAAACATGTGATATCAACTTTAACATAAATTTCAAATTGAAACATATTAGCATCAAAAGTAAGCAAAATCAAATTCTACCATTTTTCCACCCCATCAAAATCACATCAATGCCCAATATCACCAAATGGGTTTGTTGAACAACATTGGTAAGAAAGCACCTCAATGCCCGATAATCCCCTAGTTTAGCCTCAATAGTATTTAAGGAAATAATGGTAACCAACAAAGTCCAATTCACACCTTAAAATAGTTTTCACTATTTTTACTATTCCTTAAAATGGTAGAAATGGACATTCAGATTAATGAACACTAGTAACACCAAAAGATAATCAAAACTGTTCCCAATTAATTAAAAGCATTATTAAACACTGTTGATAATTAGGCTAGGCGGACAAAAAATAAAGATTTCAAGACATCAAAAATCAATCTAATTCTCGATTCTGTCCAATCTAGGTCACAAGTGAATGTTCGATTTCTTACCAGCGAGGTAAGCGGTCGTGGACTGGGTCCGGCGGTGCGTTGGTGGAGCCGTGGAGGACTGGCGGCGAGGAGTGAAGCCGGGGGCTGAGGTCGGGGCCTAGGCGGTGGAATTGAAGGCGAGAAGACTGAATCCGGGCGTGTCGTGGGATTGGTGGCGAGGAGGAGTGAAGCCGGCGGAATCTTTTTTGTTTTTTGTTTTTTTCTTTTTTGTCTTTCAGCCGTTCTAATGGAGATGGAGAAGAAGACTAATGGATGGATTGAGAAGTGGGATGGATGAGTGGGCCAAGAAAACGAAAGGTATTAATCTTTTGGGCTTTTATTGTTGGGCTAACTCAAAAAATTATTGAGTAAATCACACCTGCACATAACATATAATTTTTATTTGCAAAATTACTAGATGTATGACATTAATTATAAAATTATCATATTTTAAAAATATGCTTAATTTAAAGATGAAATGAACTGATCAACGTAATTAAAGGTAGTTTTTCTCTCTCTCCTCCCTATCTCTTCTTCTCATTCTTCCTTACATGATCAGCGTAATTTAAAGATTTTCTCTCTCCTCCCTTACATGATCAGCGTAATTTAAAGATTTTCTCTCTCCTCCCTTACATGAAAGCAACACACGAACAAGTTGAGAAAATTAAATTCAGGCAAACATGTAAGAAAATGATCTGTACAAGATTAAAATCGAATTAATCTTGTGAGAAATTAAATTCTCTCTCTCCTCCCTTACATGAAAGCAACACACGATCAGTTATTGTTGAGAAATTAAATTCAGGCAAACATGTAAGAAAACGATCTGTTTGCACATTTAATTAAAGGCGAATTAATCTTGTGTATATCTTTTGTATATATTCTGTATATAAATCGAGCTGAAATTTGAATTTTGTGGTCTAATGCGTTTTCTGTATATGTTATGTATATCTTCTGTATATAATAACAAGATCGATTTATCTTCTGTACATATGTTGTGTATTTTCTGTATATCGTCTGTATATAAAGAGTATATCTTCTGTATATAATCCTGATTGTGTATTTTATAGGTATTTGGAAGAAGACGTTGTTTGAGATGCAAATTCCTTATCTTTCTATTTTGTGTTGAAACAATCTCCTCATCCCTCTGCTGATTCATTGTTGGAGTACCGTCTTCACTTTCCTTCGCTTTGCTTGGTACGTTAGCAATCGTACTATGGCGTATATGACCAGTGAACCTTCCAGCACGACCGACCTGCAGATAGCAAACCGGACCTTCGTCTTAGTATCCCGCTCGCTGTTCAAGTGGCTATAGACTAGAAGGGTTAGATGGAAGACAAGTCGGCACTGGTTGCCAGAAAGGCGGGGAACTCCAGAGCATGTTCGAACGGTAATCCTGTTGATTTTCGGGCTGACACGTTCTTTTTAGAGGAGATAGCTATACTTCGACCGACGCTGTCTCCATACCTTGTTTTCTGTAGTACAAATCCAATGTCCCCCATTCATGCGCAATTTAAAGAACACGTTTCATATAAAAGGTAACTGAAATTTGATTATTCACTAATAAATGTAATGCATTTAGTAGGAACGCAATAAAATCTACACCTTGGTACAAATGCAAATATTTTAAAATCTTGTGGTAAACATAAAAATTCCCCCAAATTTTTGGAAATTTTTATCTATCCTACAAGATTTAAATTTATTTGCGATTTTGCAGCTATTATAAATTTAATTGCATATGTATCTAAAACTATTGAATTAATTGGAGATTTACTTGATTTCAGTTACCATACAAAAAAACGTTGACTCATAAGAGAGAGAAGTGGAAATAAATAACTTACTCATTTAATTTCTAAATTCGCACAACTGGAATCCCTTAATTCACGCAACTGTAGGTGGTATTTATTGCGCGGTTTTGCTATGAAGCCAACAGGTGGCTCCATAGTGGAACCAACCTTCTATATACAACAAGTAAATCTACCATATTCTTTGATTATTTAAATAACATTAATATAATTTTATTAATATGGTAGGATCACTTGTTGTATATAGAAGGTTGGCTCCACTATGGAGCCAATTGTTGGTTTATAGAAAAACCGATATATTGCGTTTATGTTAGTATATATTCAGTATATGTGGCCCACTGGAATTCTTTAATTCACGCAGTTGTCAGGTGGTATATATTGTGTTTATGTTAGTATATATTCAGTATATGTTGCAATCCGTTTATACTAACTATGAATTGATTTTATACATAAAAATTATGTCTCGCGATAAATTTCTTTATCATATACCGAAAATATACTGAATATAAACCACACATATTCCGAAAAAAAAATAAAAAAAAATCAGTTTATGCTTTGTCAAATTCGTTTCTAACACATAACATATATTGAACAGTGTACAAAAAAATCTTCTAATATATATAACATATACTCCATATACACACCACATATACTGTCTGTCTATATTGTCTGTCTATACACACAACATATACTGCTGTGAACATATACTGTACATATACTACAATCCAAAGTCTGCAAATTTCAACGCACTAACTGATCTACACACAGTTCAATATCCCTAAAAAATTGAAACAAAATTCAATTTTCCTACAACCAACCAATCATCTCCCCCAATCATGGCGATGCCGAAACCCTCTTATGCCGGCGGTAATTGAGGAAAACATCCTCCGGAAGATATTCCTCTTCTCCCTCGGCGCCAACAAATAAATTACACTTTATAGAGATAATTATACTTCACAATGGAGATGCACACTCCAATTCAGACGATTAATCAATTCTGACTGGAGCAAGAGCTTGAGGCAGATCAAATTCAAAGGAAACCCTCAAAAGGGAGAGGTGATAACCTCAAAAAGGAGTAGGGGAGAAGTAGGGGCCTGTCATTGTTAGACTTTCTGCTAATTATAATCCAAGTCCCTCACACCAATTTTCATCAAACCATTTTTTATGAGCATGTTAAACATGTCCAGGAGAACAAATATTAACGAACATTTACACAACTGTAGACAAACAATAACAATAATAAAGAGAGAACGCACAAAAAAATTCCAGCACAAGCACCAAATTTGCCACAATACTAAAACATACTTTTCCGTTTTCATCACAACAATCTCAACAGCCCAACAATACATTAGACTTCTCCAATCAATCCCCGGAATCATCGATGGCGGGGAATCGATGGCCGGATAGGTTGCAGGCCGCGTAGAGCTCTCTGAGGTGATTTAGGTTGATGTGCATTGGGTTTGTGGATATGACTATTGGCGGCGAGAGGGATTTGGGGTGGATTTGAGCGGCCACCTAGAGCGAGGATGGTGAAATGGGGAGGGCCGTGGAGACAGGGTAGCGCCCGTGGGAGGATGTTGCAGAAGAAAAGAAAACGGAGAAGGAAAAGAAAAAGGGAAAAGAAAAGAAAAAGGTATTAATTATCTCACTTAATCAATAATTGATTCAATTCTATATTTAAATCATAATTAATAACTTACAAAATCTGGTATATGTGTAAATATGTTGGGGTGATTTTGTATCATTGCAAATAAATATTAATTGATTACAAATATGTAATATAAAATATATATGATAGTATGAGGTATAAATTCCTCAAAAAATTTTGGACTTATGTTATTGGACAAATTCAAATAATTGGACTAACACAGAAATACATGGGATTATCTACCAAAAATAACCTAAAATGTAAATTATTTTTTTTATTATTATTTACCTGGGGGTGGAGCCCACCCTAGCCCATGGGTGGCTATGCCCCTGCACATAGGTAAATAATTATGTATTTACTTACATACTTTAACTGATTTTATATTTCTTATACTATGATTATTTCTCTTTCTATCTTTTTAATTTTTTATATTGTTTAGGTTAAATAATAGCATAACAAATCAACCTAACTTTCGACTTTCATACCTATACCAAATAAAATTCATACCACTTATTTTATTTTTAAAGTTTTAAAACACATTTCTATATATATATATATATATATATAGGATTTGGTTCAAATGAGAACTAAGTTCTAGCGTGAGAACCGTGAGAACCCCTATTTTTAATTGTATATAGTGCTATGATTGAATGTATTTTAGTGCTATTTTTAATCATGATGTATTTTATTAAAAATAGCAACACAATTTATGTTAGCATTTGTAAAAATGATAGCACCATGTGAGATTAAAAATAGCATCATACACAATTAAAAATAGCACCAAATATGGTTCTCACGGTTGTTACACCAAGACTAGTTTTTATTTGAACCAACCCCTATATATATATATATATATATATATATACACACCATTTAAATTCGAACATTTCATTCCAAAATAAAATCGCTCACGTTATGCTATAAATTCGGACATTTATTAATAACAACACATTTCCTACCAAATATAAAAATGACACTCAGATACATAAAATGAAATAGCCCACTTTATACTATATATTGATTAATTTATTTCTCATAGAAACGACCATTAAATACCAAAAATAAATTCACTCACTTTATACCATACATTGATTAATTTATTTCTCATAAAAGTATCCATCAAATACTAAAAATAAATTCACTCACTTTATACCATATATTGATTAATTTATTTCCTATAGTAACAGCCATCAAGTACCAAAAATAAATTAGCTCATGTTACACCATATATTGATTAATATATTTTCATAGAAACAAACATCAAATACCAAATATGATTTTGTCCACTTTGTATCATATATTGATTGATTTATTTCAAATAGAAACAACCATCAAATATCAAAAATTATTTCGCCCACATTATACCCTACATTAATTAATTTATTTCTAGATATAGTAAGTAGAATATTTTTTGTCGGAAACAACTACTATTTAAAAATAATCACACATATATTTAGATTATATAACAACATTAGAGCATTGGAGATGTTTTAATTATGTCCACAACACCTCAACATGTGTGATTACATGGGAAAATATCAAAACTAGTCCTGTTGTTTTCGGGTTTTCTGCTTTTGGTCATATTAAAATGGTGTTTCCCAAAACCAGTCTCCTAACCTTTTAAATTCAATCAAAATAAAGACAATTGTTTCCAGAAGTATCTTTTCTGGCCTGGAAATGACACATACGCCGACGTGTCTTAATAATATTACAGTTTGTCCATTTAACTCTTGCATGGCATATGACATGGCAAAATATCAATATAAGTCCCATAATTATAGAGATGTACCAATATCGGTCCTATTAAAAAACTATTTTTTTTTTAATTTTTAACATTAAGAAAATTATTCTTATTATTAATATTTACACAATCTTTATTAATATTTCGGTAATATCGTAGGAAAAATATTTTAAGTAATATATATAAATAGTAGTTATAAAGATATTTTCAATTAAATTGCCATAACCATTTTCATTCTTATAAAATAATGATATACCAAAAAAATATTTATGTATAGTTATGCATATATTTCAAAAAGTAATGAAAGGATGATAGAAAAAAGAAAAACAAAAAAGAAAATGCATTTTAGAATCAGGGTGATGCATATCAAAATACCACGGCATTTAAGGACATTTTATGAAACGATATAGGAGTATTTTCATAAAGTTAAATTTTGAATATTAGAGGATATTTATTATTTTTTAGACACATGTTGATATACGAATATCCTGAAATTCTTTCATAGGCATACAAAATTTGTACTAATGCGGAAAATATTTCAGTTAATACAGAATAAAAAAAAATACCATTTTATCAAATAAATAATGTACCAAAAATTATTTGAAGGAATTTATTTGTAAGGGCACTTGATTTCATACAAAATGTGCATTGGATGAAAATACTCCAAATACCGTTTTATAAGATATCCTTAATATCATGGTATTTTGATATGCATCATCATGTTTGTAAAATACATTTACTTTTTATTTTCATTTTCTCTATCATCCTTTCATTCTTTCATTTATTATTATTATTATTATTTTATTGCAAATTCACAACTATATACAAATATTTTTTAGTTTCTTATTTCATTATTTTATGAGAATAAAAATGGTCATGTCATTTGTTTGTAAAGTTTGTAGCATTTGCAAGAAAATTATTTGATTACATAAATTTTGTTTTTAGCATTTTAAAATCGACATGTTTACTTTTATATTATCCTGATTTTAAGAATGTTTAAAATATTTGAAAATATCTTATGGAAAGATTAAATATTTCGGTTTATGATATTATGGAAAGAAAATAAAGAAATATGGTTAAATCTTGACAATGAGATTTTTTTTTTCAATTGTGAAAATGAAAAAAAAAAAATTCTTTTTAGTGGGATCAATATTGAAATATCTCGATATTTATGGGATTGATTTTGATATTTTTCCATGTCATTCGCTACGCAGGAGTAATATGGACCAACTGTAATATTATTTAGACACGTCGGCATGACGCGTTATTTTTGGACCAGAAAAGGTAGTTCCGGCAATAATTATCCTTATTTTGATTGAATTTAAAAAGTTAAGAGACTGGTTTTGAGAAATACCATTCCAATGGGACCAAAAGTAGAAAACACCAAAAACAACGGGACTAATTTTGATATTTTTCCATGAATACATTGTACTTTGGAGGATGAAAAGTTATAATATTACTAAATGTAAAACTTAATTTAGTCCCACAACATTTGGGATGCTCTTAGAAAAGGAATGCAAAGGAGAAAAAAAAAATGCATATATAATTGAAGTTTTCGGGTTTTCCTGTTAATTTGTTAATTCGTTTCCAAACGTAACGTTGGGCACATGTGCCTTTGTGTATCACCTTTCGGCATCCACACATGCAGAATGCATGCCCGGCGAAAATACTTGCGACGTCAAATGTTCACACCATAAATCTTTGTCTTGGTTATATCTCCAAAATATAAAAGAATATACTAATATAACCATCTCTTTAAAAAGAAGAAAACAAAAATAATTTGGCCTCATAGGAAAGAAATAAGCACTCTTTTCCTATAGTAAAAGTATGATCNAATAGCAAACTGAGAGGACACGCACATGGCGGCCTAGAGAACTCCACAACCGAAAATAAAGGAGAATAAATAACAGAGCCACTGCACAATGCCTAGCCTGTATTCATTTCCAAAACAAAGACAACCAAACACACGGAACAAAGAAAACGACAAACAAACCAAAAGGAGTACACATGACGAACACACTAAACAAAATAAAACGACCCTCTCCCGGAGAGACAACTAAGCCGAAGAAGCAGCTACAACTGACCACAGGAAAGGTCCCTGGCCAAGCCCGAGCCCCCGAAACTGCCGCAGGCCTAACAAGAGGCAGGGCCCCGCCCCCGAACCCAACCAACGGACAGCACCCACTGACCGAGGAGAACAGGCCCAGCCACCCCAACCAGCAACCCGAATAAGGCTAACACCACTAGCCCTAGCCGAGAATACCGGATCCCACGCAACCCAAAATGAGCTGCTCCAGGATAGCGGCTACCTGCCCGAACTCCAACTCCGGCGACGACCACTTGACACAGCAGCCACCAAAGCCCCACCCAACCACCGCCGACCCTTATCCACAGCCCCAGACGAACAAACACCCTCTCGCCACCTCTGCCCTCTACCCAGCCGGAGCCGAACCCCAGCTAATCGACCCAATCCCACACCAATACTCAGAACCACTACACCCAATCGGGCCAAATCAAGCCCATTCAGACGACCCCATCGGAGAAGTCTCGGAGCCCCAATTGAACCCTAACCCCCAAACTCTCCAAAATCCAATTCCTCCAGACTAAACCAGAGCAAGAGAGAGAGAGAACTTACCGACACTCCCAATCGCAACCAGCAGCGACGAGGACACCGCCGGATGACGATCGGAACCGCCGCCTTGCTCCACCCACCACATGACGAGAGACGAGAGAGGTTGCTATGGCTACAGACCAAGGATAATCGTCGGCAAGGGAGGATGGGCGGCCAGCGACGGCCGCAGAGACGGCGTCGCCGTCACCGGAAGAGGTCAAAACGATAGATTGAGCGGAGCGGCTGTTAGGTTAAAGGCCGAGAGAAACTTTCGTCGGAGCGGAGCGTCGCTGTTTTTGTATTAAAAAGTATGATCTTTAGAATCTTTAATTTAATTATTTATTTATTTTATTTAATATTAGTATTTTAGTCTTAGATTTGTTAGCAAAATTATTTAATTAGAAAAGATATTTAATTATATTTTACTTGACAAGATAAAGACTTTTTAGGAGTTATATTTCTATTCTCTTGTATTTCAATCGGTTGAATTTGATTAATAAAAATATTTAAAAGTCTTTCACTTGTTTTATCCTTTGGTTAGGCTTTCGCTACGTCACTAATATATATTTAATCTATATATATATAATTACTAGCTAATAGCATTTAAGAAAACCTATTTAATAAAACCTCTAAAATTTTTCCTCCATTTTCAGTTACAAAATTTATCATTAATGTTTTTTACTTCTCACATTAATACATCCTATTGAGTGTAATCATTATTTTTCTATTATATTATAATAATTAATGCTAATACCAACTAATAATAATTCACAATAAATACAAATTGCATAATTATAAACAATTGTTTCAAGTTATCTATTTTAACATCAATATTATCTTTTTCTTTTGTATCTCATTAAAAAATTTCTTTAAAAACAATTAGTAAATTGTTTTAATAAAATAGTCAAACAATTTTAGAATCTTATAAACAATTATTTTTGTAATAATAATAATAATAATAATAATCAAACTGCTATTATCTAATGATAATAAACAATTATTCATAATAATAAACAATCATTAATTTATTTTTCCTAATGATTAAATTTTAAAAATGTAATATGTTCATTATTAGAGATGGCCACGGGCCGGACTGGCCCATGGTCCCGGTCCCGGCTCGGCCCGCAACCGGCCCGTGGTTGCCGGTTCCGAGGACCGTAACCATGGCTTTACGGGTCGGAAACGGGTCTTTTGTTTTCATTTTTGGTCCCGACGGTCTGGTGCCGGGCCGGGACCGGGTCGGGGTAGGACCGGGACGGGTCCGGGACCGGGCCGGTTCACGGGCCCAACCCTTAGTTTTTGGCGGGCCGGTTAAGGGTCACTCAAGGGAGGCCCGTGGGCCCGGCGGGGCGGGCTGTGACCCGTGACTGGCCACCCCTATTCATTATCTAAGATTTTAATATTAAATTCTCAAATATTACTTATAATATTTTATGTACATCTCTTGCACAGGATATTTACTAGTACAACTAAATTATGACAAAATCTGTGTTCTATTACACCAGATTTTTCTGTTATTTTGACACAGATTTATTTCTTTATCTGTCTTCTTAGATTTAACACATCTCATGTAAACAACGCTCTTTGTATTGCCTTATAAAATGTATTCTGTTGGGTCCGCATTCACGAGTGCCCTATAAACTCTATTGAAGCTTGTTTTTGTCACAAGATTATTTATTTATTTTTTTCTAGGAGAGGTTTGAAAATGAGAAGCAGAGGGAGGTTCATTGGGTTTTGGGTGGTTATTATTGTTCCGATTTTAGTTGTATGGAGCAAATGTAGAGCCGAGAGTTTTGAGGTTGATGAAGCTTTTGTTAATGAGATTAATGAAACATATGCAGCTCCTCCTGGTGCATTAATGGTGGGACTCACTCTTATTCATGGAGCTGCAGCTAAAGAAGCTGGTAAAGTTTTTTTTTTCTTTTTTCTTTTCTTTTTTTTTTTTGGATTT